ATTCAAATTGATAATAAGCAAGTTTTATGTAGTCTGGATCTACAAGACTTGAAATAAATCGGTATTATTTCTTAAAGTGATAATACGTCTTAAAATTAATATAAAATTCAAGAAATTTAAACTTGGCCAATAAGAGCCAGTAGATATACCTGGTGTCATAAAAAATATAACAGGATCCTTATTTAATCCGATAAATCCAAAAAATACTTAGTAATTATCCATAAATATGCAATTAACTATTGAAAAATGCTTAATATCAAGATTAAGCGTTTTTCAATAATTACTTAGTTTTATGAATTTTCCAATTTTCCTGATTTTACAGGGATTCTGTTGTAACTTTATGACACCAGGTAAGTTCACTGATGAATATATACTCATATTGACCATTCTTGAGAACTTAAATTTTATGTTCATTTTAAGACATAGTATTACTTTAAAGGATTTCACGGACATTTACAAGATACCCCAATTGGTTGAAAAAAATAAAAATCAGGAGGTACCCCAGTAAATTTGACCCACTTGTTTTTATCCAAACACAAGTTACCAATATAATAGCCAACATTATAACCCAATATTTAGAAGAGAGCTATCTTACTTGAATTGATAACAGGGGGAGCTGTAGGTATTGTAACAGGTGTGGCTCCACCTGGTGGTGAAGGAAATGATGGTATTCCTGCTGATTGAGGAATTACAGGTATGGTTGGTGTTCCTGGAATAAAGAGCATCGTGTTCAATCAAATACGAGTAAAAGACAACCTAATTCAAAAGAAAGATCAGGCAATGAGAGTACAATAGACAATAAAAAATATAAATATATAGGCAACATGGGTCTGGCCTCAGGGTCACAAACCTTTTTCATACTTGACGGAGTTTTTACTCAAATTTGAAATTACTATTACAGGTGTATAACTGATTGTATCAAAGGAGAATATAATATCAATTTATTCCTTAGTACACAATGCTTCAGGCAATTATTACAATAATCTTCAAATTTTATCTTCTCTTGGGGTGGGGGGCTAAATATGAGAAATGCTGTGTGGCCCTGGGGCCTCGTTGACTTTGCAACTGGAAGATTTGAAGAACAGCTGGAATTCAACCAATCAGAACATGTTATGTAAGATCTGTTTCTTGATAACATAATGAATTGTGGGATAGCGAAACCTAAAGCATTCTGACAGCCTCTTTCTGTTTCACTATATCACAATTCATAATCTATATTTTCTCACATGTCATGCTTTGATTGGTTAATAATAATGTTAACAGAACGCAACTGTGGTACAAAACAAAAGGAAATGATCTAATCTTAAATAAATTATGCCAACCCAAGCAATTCCTTCCAATCATAGCCGACTCTCGGAAGCACTGACTGAGGTTATAAACTTACCTGTATTAATTGAGATATTTGTCAAATCTTGAGGGGCTCCAGAGGTATTCAAAGAAACCTAAATTAAAGAAACAATATTCAGTATAAAAACAAATAAAATTCAGTGTTAAGAGTGATGGGAATAGTATTCTGAAAAGATAGCTTGCGAGGCAAGGTAACATACACCCACTGGCAGCTGTCAGAAATGATAAAACAGCTTTTAGTGACTAAAGTATGAATTTTCTCGTATTAAAGAAATTCTAATAGTTTGAATTCAATGATATATATATTTACTGCCAGTTATTTATACTGAGAAATTCCACAATATTTTTTAAATCAATATCAATAATTCAAATACAAAAAATCGCATCATTATACATGATCACAGTCCACATTTCCATGGGGGCATATAAAAAAAACTAGGTCAAGTCTTATTTAGATCTTTGAAGAATATTTCAATGAAAAGTGCAACATCATGCAGTAGATAATGAAGGAATTTTGTCAGGATTATTAACCTAAGCTTATCAAATAAGAAATATGGAAACTGAGATGTGTAAGTAATGAAAGATGTTATACAGAAGACACAGCCATAGAACTCAAGTTATGTTGTGCTGTTAATAAACTAATATAGCTTAGTTTTAACATTCTCTTAAAGATGGGTTTCCTTACATTTTAGTGTCAAATAAAGCCAAACTTTTTGATTAATTGGTGTTTTATGAATTATCATGTATTCTTAATCATATCATTATGTTCTTATTGCAACTGATAAAAGAGTTTTAACCAATCATAATTGTCCATGTATGTACAGTCTGGATAAACAAAAAAATACTTTTGGACCTTTCTTGATCGGTCACTCATTGGAATTCTGCTGGTAATTCTCTTCTAATTTGGCTAATTATGTATTAATTATGGACATGTGAGACAAACTGGTATTTTTCCAAGTCATTAGAACACCTCTACTTTCTATTCATATAAGCATTAACAATTTCATTTTCATAAAGGGAACCAATCTTTAATGTATAGAACTAGATTTATTATGAGTGATATTATATCTAGTTCTTTTTCATAATTTCTATACGTTTTCCTCTGACCATCGAACCATTGTAAACTTTAAATTTGAGAATTTTTTAATACAGCACATGACTTCTGTTTGGACATTGTATTTCGGATTATGCATCTACAAGTCAAGTTTATGAATCAGGCCCAAGTTGGATTATGTTTATAGAAGTATATTATTACAGACCTCCGAGAAACCATCCTGGACTTTAGCTGGTGATTGAGATTGAGCCAAGTTAACTTTAGTTTCTGGTAAACTCGTAGGAAACTGGCGTTTTGGAATTCTGTGTAAATAACCATAGCCTATATCACAGCCCAGACTGAAAATAATAATAAACATTTATTATATAAACATAGCCTATATCACAGCCCAGACTGAAAATAATAATAAACATTTATTATATAAACATAGCCTATATCACAGCCTAGACTGAAAATAATAATAAACATTTATCATATAAACATAGCCTATATCACAGCCCAGACTGAAAATAATAATAAACATTTATTATATAAACATAGCCTATATCACAGCCCAAACTGAAAATAATAATAAACATTTATTATATAAACATAGCCTATATCACAGCCCAGACTGAAAATAATAATAAACATTTATTATGTAAACATAGCCTATATCACAGCCCAGACTGAAAATAATAATAAACATTTATTAAATAAACATAGCCTATATCACAGCCCAGACTGAAAATAATAATAAACATTTATTATATAAACATAGCCTATATCACAGCCCAGACTGAAAATAATAATAAACATTTATTATGTAAACATAGCCTATATCACAGCCCAGACTGAAAATAATAATAAACATTTATTAAATAAACATAGCCTATATCACAGCCCAGACTGAAAATAATAATAAACATTTATTATATAAACATAGCCTATATCACAGCCCAGACTGAAAATAATAATAAACATTTATTATATAAACATAGCCTATATCACAGCCCAGACTGAAAATAATAATAAACATTTATTATATAAACATAGCCTATATCACAGCCTAGACTGAAAATAATAATAAACATTTATTATATAAACATAGCCTATATCACAGCCCAGACTGAAAATAATAATAAACATTTATTATGTAAACATAGCCTATATCACAGCCCAGACTGAAAATAATAATAAACATTTATCATATAAACATAGCCTATATCACAGCCTAGACTGAAAATAATAATAAACATTTATCATATAAACATAGCCTATATCACAGCCTAGACTGAAAATAATAATAAACATTTATCATATAAACATACCCTATATCACAGCCCAGACTGAAAATAATAATAAACATTTATTAAATTAACATTGGAAAATTGTTTACATTTGGGAGATAATTAACTTAAAGAACAGTTTCATATACGCTACAATTGACAAACCTCAGACCACGACAGCCTGGTCTGGACAGAACACTTTATAGTGGCCTGGTCATAAATACCTGCCCTGTACACCCCAGGCTCTGTTAGGGGGTTATAGTTATAATAAGGAGATGTACCTGCCCTGTTCACCCCAGTCTCTGTTAGGGGGTTATAGTTATAATAAGGAGATGAATCTGCCTTGTCCACCCCAGTCTCTGTTAGGGGGTTATAGTAATAATAAGGAGATGTACCTGCCCTGTTCACCCCAGTCTCTGTTAGGGGTTATAGTTATAATAAGGAGACATACCTGCCCTGTCCACCCCAGTCTCTGTTAGGGGGTTATAGTTATAATAAGGAAACGTACCTGCCCTATCCACCCCAGGCTCTGTTAGGGGGTTATAGTTATAATAAGGAAACGTACCTGCCCTGTCCACCCCAGGCTCTGTTAGGGGTTATAGTTATAATAAGGAGACGTACCTGCCCTGTCCACCCCAGGCTCTGTTAGGGGGTTATAGTTATAATAAGGAGACGTACCTGCCCTGTCCACCCCAGGCTCTGTTAGGGGTTATAGTTATAATAAGGAGATGTACCTGCCCTATCCACCCCAGGCTCTGTTAGGGGTTATAGTTATAATAAGGAGATGTACCTGCCCTGTCCACCCCAGGCTCTGTTAGGGGTTATAGTTATAATAAGGAGACGTACCTGCCCTGTCCACCCCAGGCTCTGTTAGGGGTTATAGTTATAATAAGGAGATGAATCTGCCTTGTCCACCCCAGTCTCTGTTAGGGGGTTATAGTAATAATAAGGAGATGTACCTGCCCTGTTCACCCCAGTCTCTGTTAGGGGTTATAGTTATAATAAGGAGACATACCTGCCCTGTCCACCCCAGTCTCTGTTAGGGGGTTATAGTTATAATAAGGAAACGTACCTGCCCTATCCACCCCAGGCTCTGTTAGGGGGTTATAGTTATAATAAGGAAACGTACCTGCCCTGTCCACCCCAGGCTCTGTTAGGGGGTTATAGTTATAATAAAGAGACGTACCTGCCCTGTCCACCCCAGGCTCTGTTAGGGGTTATAGTTATAATAAGGAGACGTACCTGCCCTGTCCACCCCAGGCTCTGTTAGGGGTTATAGTAATAATAAGGAGACGTACCTGCCCTGTCCACCCCAGGCTCCATTAGGGGTTATAGTTATAATAAGACGTACCTGCCCTGTTCACCCCAGGCTCTGTTAGGGGGTTATAGTTAAAATAAGGAGATGTACCTGCCCTGTCCACCCCAGTCTCTGTTAGGGGTTATAGTAATAATAAGGAGACGTACCTGCCCTGTCCACCCCAGGCTCTGTTAGGGGGTTATAGTTATAATAAGGAGACGTACCTGCCCTGTCCACCCCAGGCTCTGTTACGGGTAGTTATAATAAGGAGATGTACCTGCCCTGTCCACCCCAGGCTCTGTTACGGGTAGTTATAATAAGGA